TACCAGCTACTGACTACTGAAAGCCTGCTGTTCCGGGCACCCACGATATTCTCTCATTTAATCCCCACAGCATCTCTGAAGTAGATGCAATTGCCTCTGTTCTACAGATGAGGATGCAAATAATAGACATGCAGAGTTTCTATCTTGAGAATGAAAAGCAGAAATGCTTCCTTTTTAGCCAACTTTTGTCTTCAAATTTTTCATCAGTTTGTTTAGACTATGGTCATAGTCAGGAACCTCTCAAGAATACAGTTCTGTCCATAATGGAAGCCTTTTTTGGTAGGATCACAGCCAGCGTGTAACTGTGATTGTATGTTACAGATCACTTTACTTGCGTCCTCACTGGTCTCCTGCAGTCCTTTCTTCATGCTGCAGGTTAGAACAGCATTAGCTTTCAGGAATGTCAGTCAGGTCATACTGCTTTCCTGCTAAGACAGCCCGTGGCCCTTGCTACTGTTGATCTCAGTGAAGGACCACATTCCCCCCGGACTGCAGATACAAGAGCTTTGGTGAGGGTGAGCCGTGTCACTGTTGCGTAATAGAAGCTGTGTCTTGCAAGATGAAACACCTCGTAGTCAAGACGTAGAGTGACTAACAGAAAGGTGGGCAAATGATATAAATGGTTCTAGAAAAGGAACAAAAAACAGCTACTAAGCAAAATGTTCCCCTTTACTCATGATAAAAGAAATACAAAATCAAACACAAATTATAAAACACCTCCAAAAAGAGACACTACAAACCACCGCCCCTGTCACGGGGACCTCAGTGGTAAGAGAGGGGGGCACGGTAGCCCCTGTCACGGGGACCTCAGTGGTAAGAGAGGGGGGTACCACCGCCCCTGTCACGGGGACCTCAGTGGTAAGAGAGGGGGGTACCACCGCCCCTGTCACGGGGACCTCAGTGGTAAGAGAGGGGGGCACCACCGCCCCTGTCACGGGGACCTCAGTGGTAAGAGAGGGGGGCACCACCGCCCCTGTCACGGGGACCTCAGTGGTAAGAGAGGGGGGCACGGTAGCCCCTCCCTCCCCGCCCCCTTCTGTGCTTTCACTTTCTCAGTCTCTGCCGTCAGCCACACTCCAGAAGCCGATGGCCCTCCTTCTGACGCATGATTAGACGGCCAGTAGTACTAATGCTATGTCACAACCCCTGCGTCATGCCCCTCACACCCTCGTCTCATCCTGTGGGCATTTTATCATTTCACATCATCCCAGAAAGAAGGGTGGGTATGGTACAGGATGTCGAAAGAGAGAGAGAGAGACCACATTCGTATAGATATTGTTACGGTATTTTGTTGTAATTGTTCTGTTCTATATTAGTTATTGCTGTTCATCTCTTGCTCTGCCCAGTTTATGAATTAAATTTTATCATAGGCATGTTTGCATAGGAAAAAGCCTAGTATATGTAGGGTTCTGTACTATCCGCAGCTCCAGGCATCCACTGGGGGTCTTGGAACACATTCCCCACCCCACCCCACCCCCGCAGGTAAAGGGAGGTGACTGTATTTATATGTTCCTAAACTTTTGTATCACATTTTGAATTTGTAGAAGGTTACACAAGTACTAGAGTAACATGGATTCTACATATTTTAATTAAAAAACAAATGTATAAAAGCTAGTTTGTTCACTCTAGCTAGAAGGTGCATCTGAATAGGTGGGGTATTCAGGAGTTGAAAGATATTCGTGGCACTTGATAAAGCAGGAAAGTAGCATCCAGTCCCTTTTCTATATCCCATTTTAGAGCACCGAACACTTTTGCATGCTATTCCGGTTGATCTTACCACTCATCTTCATTTTAAGATGTGGAAACTGAGGCTCAGATAAATTACAGTTTGCCTAAGGTCTCACAGCTAGTTCGATCAGTACCCACCGTAAGATGTTTCTTTACGTACCTGTCTCCCCAAGAAGATGCTGAGCTAGCGACGCAAACGAGACCGTACTGTAGGCCTCGTGTTCCCAGTTGACTGCCATTAGGTGATTTTAGCTCAGAAGGGAGTCAGGCAAGTAACATCACCTTCTCCTTTCATTGTCTTGGGGAATACATGGAAAGAGATGAGTCTTGCCAAAAACATAAAACGAGATTTCAGAAAGCTCTTGTAAGTGGTGCCATTGCAAAAGCAATACACAGAAAAAATAGCTTGTAAAGCTATTAAATTGTATATAAATATACAATTTAATATGCAATATAAAATTGTAAATTTTAATTTCTGTGGAAGGAGAGTGGATTCCATACCCCATAGAACCTTGTCTCTGGGTTGTGGCATTTGACGCTGTGACATATTCCATTTGAATTTGCTTTTATATTCTACCTCTTTTGGAATCTTTCACAAACTTGATTTCCTGCCAGTGATGAGTCAGATCATTCAAATGGAACATGGCATATATATTTTTAAGGACTGAGCAAATAGCTAGAAATAAAGAAATAACTTGCCCAGGTAAGAATTGTTAGAACTCATCTGAACAAACCTTAAGCCTGTTAAGTGTCCCAGAGGCAGCAGGAACCCGAGGATGTACTGTATCATCAGAGGTTCTAAATCCTTCAGCATGAAGACTTTCATGGTTGAAGTGAAATTGAATGCCCAAGAAAAGGACCTGTGTTATTTTCTTTAATCAAGAAGATAGCAGTCACTCTCTAAAAGAAAGAAAGACAAACCCACACAATCTATATGGAATTTAAACTCATTTTTTATTAAACAGGACTCTATATGAAACTCTTGAGAATTTTATAGTAAAGCTTAGATAAATATTTCATGAAACATCTTAAGATGCAATCATTTATAGTAATTTTAGGGCTCTGATTTCTGTTTGTTTTCAGATTTGAAAAAGCAAACATTTTCTATGATGATTTATATCTGGGAGCTGCCAATTGAGCCCAATTTCATAAGACTTATCTTTATAAATAAATGGAATAGGATAATAAGGAACAGCTCTACTTACTTGTATTTTATAGCTAACTCTTTAGACAGAAGCAATGTTGAAAGATCTTTTTTTTTTCCTAACTGAAATATAAACCATGGCCTTTATAAAAGTCTGACCTCGTTTATCCACCTAAGCTGAAGCTGACTTTGGGGTTCCATCGTGTAATGGTTAGCACTCTGGACTCTGAAGCTGACTTTGGATCTGGGTATCATCTTCCCTCCAGCTGCCTCAGTAGACTCTCTTCGGCCACTACTGCTCTAGGTTCTCTGGAACAAACCAGCCCCCCCACACTCTGCAGCATACCAGAGCCTTCACCTGACATGTGAGAACTCTGACCACCCCCAAACTCCTGGGTTCTGGGAGTTGTTCAAACTGCCCTCCCTTTGGTATGCTAGTTTGATGGTGTCAACTTTTTCTTAGAGACAGGTCTTGATTTGGGGTACTCTGTCTACATGTCTACATGAGTCTTCCACGGCTCGTTCTACATACTCGCTTATATTTACCCAAACTACTGATGATGTGGATATACCTTGACATGATGATCCTGCATCATTTAAAGATGTATCTTCTTTATCCATTTGGACAACTACCTGCTAAGCAGCTACATTGTTGTGCACCACGGTCTGTGGAGTGCATGAGGAATTTCATATTCATTCAATAAATGGTTACCTACCATGTGCCAGACACCCCGCTGCCACGTTTGGATGCACTAGTGGGACAGACATGATCCTGGCCCTCATGGAGCTGAGGTTTTAGTGGGCACAGGAAGGCTAAGTGAGTCCCAAATAAAGTAAAATGATGGCGGGTTATGAGAAGCGCTGTGAAGAAACACAGGCGAGAAATGGCCAGGGTGGTGCAGCCACAGGGCGTGCAGCCCAGGAAGGGGACTTGGAGGTGAGCAGAAATCAGCAGGTGGAAGAGCATTCTCAGGAGGGGAGCAGGAGAGAATAATGCTTTGTTGATGTTACCTGCAAGGAGCCACAGGACATGGCGTCAGAGTGAGAATGGCAACGCTCAACCACAGAGGAGGCCACAGGCCGTGGTCAGAGGTTTGCATTTGGTTCCCAGGCTCCTGGGAAGCCTTGAGGGGTTTCATGCAGAAAAGATATGCTCTGATTTCCTTTTTTATTCCTGAAAGATGATTCTGGCAGCTTTGTGAAAGCAAGGGAAAGGAGCAAAGTGGGGGGTGGGTGGTGGTTGAGGCTGAGAGAGCTGAGTAGAGTTGGGGGGGGGAGGAAGATGGTAGCAGGCTAGGCTTCTGCAGGAGTGGGAAATAGCGCGGAAGAGCAGCCCAAGAGACATTCCAGAAGCGCAGGCAACAGATTGGGCACATACCCGGAGAACAAGGGGAGGGAGGAGGGAATCCCGGGAGTCAGGGGATTCTGACAGGAGCGTCTGGGTGCGTGCTGGTGCCGTGGGTAGGGACGGGGAGACCCCAGGCGTGGTAGGCTTGCGGGAGGATGTCAGCGTTCTGTTTTGGAATAGCAGAATCTCCAAACCCACCCCTTGTTCACAGTGTACCCGTAAGGGCTGGCATGAGCTGGCGTTCATGGGTCTGCAGCACTTTAGGAGTCCAGGTGAAAGATCGTTGCTCATGAGATCAGGGGGCAGAGCAGTTCCGAGCAGAGGAGAGCAGGGTACTGGCCCAACCTCGGGAAGAGGGGCGGGATGTTTAGGCGGCCAGAGACGTGCATCCCAGAGACCGGACGCAGGGGCTCTGAGAGGGCACACGCAACGTGTCTGGCCTGGCAGAAATGAAAGGCTGGCAGCGTAAGGGGGGGCCGGGGTGTTACTGTTGCTTTTTGTAGGGGCCTCATATCCCGAGAGAGGTTAAGCTTGCTTCCTCTTCTCTCTCTTCTCCTTTCCCCAGTTCAAGCCCACCATCCACTGGGTTGGATCCTCTAATGGGCTTTCGGAGTTAGGACTGGGGGAGGCCCAGAGGACCCACTTTGGGGTTGGAGACACCTTTAGATATTTCTTTAGGGGAGTCCCACAGCACCCATCTTCTCCCCCCTCCACCTTCCACACAATTCCATGTCCATTTTGTCACCTGCACTTAAATATTTCCATTTATTTCCCACCTAGGTTTTATGGCAGGCACACAAAGAAACCCTCAGATGTCTCAGTATGGACCTCAACAGACAGGACCATCCATGTCGCCTCATCCTTCTCCTGGAGGCCAGATGCATCCTGGAATCAGTAGCTTTCAGCAGAGTAACTCAAGTGGGACTTATGGTCCACAGATGAGCCAGTATGGACCACAAGGTAAACACCGCTTCTCAAAAATGCATTGCAGTAGGCTGTAGAAGGTTTGTGAATATGTTAGTCCTTCAAGGTCTCAATAATATAAACACCTTTTAAGATCCCATTATTTGTTACCTGACTGATTCGTAAAGTTAATGCAAACCCACAGTCCTTCAGTTGCCCACAGTGATGGGAAGAATAATTACAGCAAGTATTCATTAAGCATTCATACATCAGACACTATGGTAACTGCTCTTTAATATGTGTGTTACTAATAAAGGAGTAAATCCGCTTCTGTGATGTAGTTTGAAATGCTTGTTGAGAAATAGACACAGGCCTTGTCTTCAAAAAGTTTCTGATTTAAAACTTGGGTTTCATTATGTTGAATTCTGATTGTGTCCCCCGTCTCTCCGTAGCTATCTTTGTAACAATGTGCTCAGTACTCAGAAGGGTATTGTCTCATGACATCCACTCCCAGTTTGTCTCCAGAGGTCTGTGTCCAGTAAAAAGCAGCTCTTGTTTTCTCAGTGGTACCAGTCTTACTCTGCAAAGACACAACAAAGCCTGAAATGGACATGTCTTTCAAAAAGGATAAGGGGGCGCCTGGCTGGCTCAGTTGGGGGAGCAGGCAACTCTTGACCTCGGGGCTGTAAGTTTGAGCCCCACGTTGGGTGTAGAGATCACTTAAAAATGAAATCTTTAAAATAAAAAATAAAAAAAAATAAAGGAAGATAAGGCAAGAGTCGACAAATGATGGAACCATGCCCAAAATGCACTGTTTACATTCTGCCTTCCTGGAAGTTGATGTATGTTTTGTCATGTACATGTAGGATCCTTTTATCAAGGTTTTTAACCTGATATATTTTTTTTCTAAGGCACTTTTGGCAGTAAGGCATTTGAATTTCGCACCTTCTTTATGTTTTGTTTATTTAAATTAGACATTAATGGATAATTTAGAGAGAATAAGAAAATCTGGCACAATTCTCAGAGTTTCCTCAAAAATATCAGGAATATTCCAAGTGAAGATGATGAATGCCCACTAGGAAATTGTAGTAAAACAACAGTCAAGTCAGGTCTCCTCCTGTTAAAGTCTTCTTCTTCTCTCAAGATGTTTGTGTGTGTTTAGCAAACCACTGAGCTCTGTCAAGGTTCGTTGAGCATCTCCAGCCATGAAGCCAGCCCTCACAAGGCGAGACGATCCTCTGAGAAGGCCTTGGCACCTTCTTGACTTTTCACCCAGTGTTCCTCAGGAAAGCTTTTCTTTCTATTTAGAGTACTTCACGGTTTGAAAATGGAGTTATCAATGTATTTGTCTTGTTCTTGAAGATTGCTTTCTGAAAGATCATCAGCACCTTCAATATTCCCAGCATCACATGGTTTCCTTTCCTCGAGTTGCTTTATTATTTTACATCCCAACTCTTTCTGTTGTTAGGAAAAACGATATTAGAACCCCCAAAACAAAACTTCGTGGTTGGCCCCTTCCTGTCTTTGTCCATACGTGGGGTGGATGTAGACTTTGTGTTTTGCTTGATTCCCTTTATACCATGTCATTAATGGCTTCCTGTGATATTAATTTCAGTAAACCCTAGGAATTTAGGCCCCACCTGACAGTGGCAGTCTGCCCTGTTCCTGTTCCCTGGCAGCCCCAGGAGGCTGTGACATGGAGACGTTTGTCGCTGCGCTGAGGCAGGTCAGTGAGGCGCTCAGGTGGAAGCCCGCATCACTGCCCATGGGACCCATCCGGCGGCTGTCTTCAAAACTGGGTTTCTTTGACCCTTGTGGAAAGGAGAAAACTTTAGTGCAAGTCAGAAAAGCAGCTGTGATACACACAGAAAATGGGGACTTGGGCTCAAAATGTAATTGGAGACAAGGTCAGAGCCTATTGTTCTCATAATTGGGAGTGGCTAAAGGTCTAGGACTTAGCCGCTAAAACTCACGAGGGCTTCATGTGATCTTCAAAATTGGTCTTTCTTCTCTTAAATAATTCACTCTTGCAACCTCATCCTCTACTGTTCTCAGAATAAGGGAAGATAGAACTTTGACTATCTGATGAGTCTTTTGTGAACAGTTAAGAAAGCGCTTATGCTATCGAGTTAATAGCAGGAAAGGCCATTTCTACAGAATGGATTTCTTTGAATAAAACCCTCAGTTTTCCGGAATAATTGAACATTAAGGTTCATAATTTAAGAGCACTGAACCTGTGAGGGTTCTCCTCCAGACTGCTATATGTCCTTGGCAAATTGCTTTCTCTTTGGGAATTACTTTTCCTCTAGAAAATGAGAAAATTCGATCATGTTACTTTGGAATTTGCTTCCAATTCTAATGTTCTACAGTCTAAATCTTCCTTCAACTCCACAGCCTTTTATATCAATGCAACCTGCTGGATCCACTACGTAACATTTTGGTTATATAGTCAAGAAGGTATTTCTTTCAAGGCAAAAATGCTGAGTGTAGGTTGATACTCGAAACCATTTAGAATCATGAGGATAATTTGCATACTCAACACTTTGTAACTTTGAAAATGAGTGCCTGCATATCTGTCCTGTCTGCCGTTTCTCCTTCTCCCCAGTGACCTCTCACACACATCCACTCCGAGGTGCGTCTCCTCCTGGGTCCCTTGACTGGCTCCCAATGCTGTGTGCTTAAAACCAGCGGCCTGGTACTCTGTGTTCAACTCAGAATTGTTTGCTTTTCCTCCTTGTATTCTCCAGCAAACACTAAATCACAGGAAACGAATGCTCGTAACGTTGTTCAATTCAACAAATGTCCTTACTTTTGTGTTTCTGTCTTCGTTGATCCTTTTAAGTATGACACAAATGAAATATTTTTTTCTTCCTCCTCTTAATTAACTACTCAAATTAGTAAAACATTCAGCTTACAATTTTGTGTTACATGTTTGAAGGTCTCTGAAAAGAATCACTTGTGTGTGACCCACAGAGAGGCCATCTGTCCCATCTTTTGTTTCTGACCCAAACTAGATAACTTTCTTCTGGGTAAGTTTTGATTCTAAGGGATCTCAGAGGAAGATACCATACAGTCTTTTTTTAAGCCTTTTCACTCTCAGGAGTAGCTTCTCCAGAATTGTTATTTAGTAATAACAACCAACATTTTATTACTCTGTCCTGGGTCCTGCTTGAGGTGGGTTTTTTGTTTGTTTGTTTATAGATTTTATTTATTTATTTGAGAGAGAGAGAGAGAGTAGGGGGAGGAGCAGAGGGAGAATCCTAAGCTGACACCCTGCTGAACACAGAGCCAGACCTGGAGCTCGATCTCTCAACCCCAAGATCACGACCTGAGCCGAAATCAAGAGTCGGACGCTCAACTGACTGAGCCACCCTGGCACCCCTGAAGTGTTTTCCATAGACTAATTCATTTAATGCTCACAACATGCTCTGTGATAGGTACTGTTATCATTCCACTTGGCAGATGAAGAAACTGAAGCATACCGTAGGTAAACAGCTTCACCAGGATACACAGTGGTCATGCCAGGATTCAAATTCAGGCAGACTTGCCCATTTTCTTATTTAATGGGAAGCTGTGACGTTATCCACATTTTGCAAATGAGCAGTTTAAGTAATTGACCCACAGTCCCACAGCTAGTAAGTGTTAGAGCCAGGGTTCAAATCAAGGGAGACTTCAGACACCACTCACATAGTCCCATGCCTCTGATGTACCCCCTCCTTGCTGGTTCATTGATTCAGTGAGCCACTGAAGAGACAAAAGACAAACTACTCGAGGAACAAGGAACATTTTGGGAGTACAGGCTTAGAAATACATCAAAGATACTAGAGATGAAAAAAAAAGTTTCTGTGAAGTTAAGGAAATTTTTAGAAATGTATATTAATACTGTAAAATCTGAATTATTAAATATACAAATGGAATTAATCCAATCTAAATGTTTGAAAATGTTTAATTGCAGTATATTTTATGAAATAGCACTTTTCTACCTTCAAGCAAGTACATATAGTAACTACCCCTATGAAGGTTTCCAAGGAGGGCCATAGAGACTTGCTTTAATAATAGAAAGGAGTTATGTAATTGACATGTTAATTATTAAAGAATTTGGGGGAAAGAGTGCTGAAACAAATTTCACCTTCATAGCCTTTATATTTCTTAAGAGCAAAGACCATCTTGTTTTTGTGTTCTCTAGAACAGTGTCTGTCACACTGACCACAAATATCTTTTGCATATTTGTCACTGTTTGCAGAAAATAGGCATCTAGCCTTAATTTTGCTCTAAATAAGCAGTTTTACCTTGGGCAACTAAATAATTCTGAGCTTAGATTCCCCTCAGTTCTCACTCACTTGTACGAGAGTGTCTGGGCCACCACATACAGCTGCACAGCTGTGTTGTATACTGATACAGCCCTGGGTTTATGCCTTAATTTGTATAGTGTGTGTCTTAGGAAGCAGGGATCTTTTAAGTAGGTGAGCCTGATGAGACTTTTATTTCTTTTCTTTTTTAAGATTTAATTATTTATTTTAGAGAAAGAGCGTGCACGCATGCGCAAGTAGGGGGAGGGGCAATGGGAGAGGGAGAGAATCTCTAGCAGACTCCCCGCTGAGCGCAGAGCCCAACACGGGGCTTCATCCCAAGACCCTGGGATCATGACCTGAGCCGAAACCAGGAGTTGAACGCTTAACCGACTGAGCCACCCAGGTGCCCTGAGACTTTTACTTCTAAATTACTTGATAAAAGGTATTTTCTTCCAGAGTTTAAAGGTTTGATTTTTTTGTTTTTTTTTCTAAAAGAGATGCCTTCTGAAATAGTCTTTCTCCCTTCGTTAAAATGTATTTCTTAATGCATTCAGAAAACTCCAAATCATACCTAGTTGAAATGTGCAGTTCCAAAATAGTGAATCAGACGTTAATAATGTTACATTTGTTTCGGTTGAAGAGGATCAACACATAAATGTCACTCATTGGCGGCCCCTAGCTACTTTAGAGTACCTTATAGGCCCATGACATCCTGGGTGTCACCGTGACCCAGGATTTCAGTCTCTACTATTTTAAGTCCCGAAT